AAAAGTACAGGCTCTGAAATGTAATCAGAGTAAAAAAGTAAAAGTAGCTCCTTGAAGAACATTTTAACCACATGTTTTTATCCAAAGTTAACTGAACCTTGTGCTTTATTAATGTAATAATAAAATAAGATTAGTAAATGAAGTACAAACTATTTATTTCTAATAAAGGTTCTCTGTTTGAATCAGTTAAGTAGAAAATGAAGGAAAATAAAACATATGTGTATTTTCTGTTGCCTACATTGTAGAGGGTGACTTTGCCTCTAAACAGGAACATGAGCAGGGAAGAGGTTAAAGTGGGATTGAGCAGGTGGGAACCCTAAAATCAGCTGTAGTGGCTCAGCGTGGGGAAAAGAATCACAGCTCACAATAATTTCTGTTGAGAGCTCCAGTAGATTTTCTTAAAGTACAGGCTGTGATCAGCTGACCTGCTGCTCTCTGTGGATGTACACAACTGAATTCAACCAGATGTCAGCAGATGTTTCATGAGCTGTCCTGGCTGGTTTCCATCCTCTACACTGACAGTACACTGTCTTTATATTAGACACTATACTGTTGGTATGAAGGTGGAACTCAGTGAATGAATGTCAGCATCATGAGCTTCAGTTTAAATGAATCTCTGCTACACTTGATGTAATCTAACTGTGACATGAGCACCACAGTCACTGTGCACCAGTCACACACTGTCCTTTACTTTAAATCCATCACAGTTCAGCAAACGAACCTGTTTATCCTGCACTAACCTGCAGAGGATCTTCATGCAGTCTTTAAATAACACAGTTAATCTGCCTCAGATTGTTTTGCAGCATCTTTCACAATCTGAAAAACATAATGTCACATGTACAGACCCAATGTCTGATTTCAACACATGAGGACTTACATGTAAGCTTTAATCTCCAGTTGATCAAATCCCACTGAGCAGTCCTTCCCTTTAAATCTAACCTCTCTTCTTCCTCTCCTGTCCTGTGTGTCTTATCTTTCTCCATCTCTGAGTGAAGTTAGCTCTCTTTCTTTTCTCTCCCTGTGATGTGCAGCAGCTGGACCTTTAGCCAGCAACACACTGTGAGACAAACTGCACACAAACAGTTTGTGTGTTTGCTGATGTTTGTTGAGCTGATAGAAATGCTGCATTTGAAATTACCTGCCACTTAAAAAATATGAATCCATTTATTCTTGCTCATCTTCTGTATTGCTAGCTGGATGCTGAAGTACCGTGACGGCAACTTATGAGCACCTGCAGTGATTCAGGTGTTGTGCCAAAAAAGAACATTGGTCCACTTTAACTCCTGACTATGTTTTGCACACAGTTTTGCCTCTTTCATCTCTTTTTATGTTTCATACCCTGGTGATTAGTGCACGATCAGGATTGCCTTTCATGTGTTACTGTTTAGGTTCAAATCAGTTTGATGCCTGCAGCGATGAAATTACTCTCCTCAAATGGCTTAAACCAAAAGTAACAAGCCTGTTTTGAAAATGTAAGAAGTAGAAAATACAGATATGTGTAGGGAGTAAAAGTTTTAAAGAAATCCTGAGGCTACAATCAGACTCTGACATTTCCCTTCACTGAACCAGGCTGGTAACTGTTACATTTGATTTATTATCATTGAATAAATTAGAAAATTATTGATATATGTAATAGGGAACAGCAATAGGAAATGTAAAAAAGTATAGACCTGGTAAATATTTATATATTATATATGTATACATTTTTATATATCTGTGTACAGCAGGAGGGATGGGCATGATTTTAGTGTTTTTAAAAAGTCATGAATTATTTTTAACAGCAGGTTGGATGTAATGTGTTAGAACTACCAGCAGGTGGGGATAAGAGACCTTTAAGGTGTTTGGTGCCACACTCCACCTTCAGGTTTAAAACTAGTGTTAATGGAGGGAGTTTGAAGGTTGAGTTTGTTCCACGACTGCATTTCACTCACTGCCTCTGTTTGTATCTCTGTCACTGCAGGACCAACATGGAGCGAGAAGTCAGCGCTCTCAGGAGGCCGACAAACCTCACAGAAGAAAGGGAGAGAAAAAACACACCTGTGACGAGTGTGGGAAGGGTTTTATCTGAAGGTCATCTAAAACAGCATCAGGTCATCCACACTGGAGAGAGACCGTTCAGCTGTGACTTGTGTGGAAAGTCTTTTTCCAATTCACTGAGTCCCAGTTAGCCTTCCATCTTTGTCATTTAAATGCAAGTTTTGCCTCTCGGCACATACAATCAATAACAATGGCATCTTCTCCTTATCTGTATGTGGGAAACGGTTACTAACGCGACCCATATCACAGTGGAGCGATCAGCTGATCAGTGTGAAGGTCAGAAAGCTGACCTAATTTACTCGACTTACGTACAGAGTCGTTAAACTTGACAGGATTCAATTATTGTACTCAACAATCTGGATTAGGAATCATCAAATAACCCCAGCCTCCTAGGGCAGGTAACGTTCACAAAGGAAACTATATATAGTGTAAAGTGTTGAGACAATCGCAGATGTATGCGAGTGTATAATTCCACTGTGACTGCTCGGGGCGAAGCCAAAGCCGCTAAGTACCGAATTTCATGCTGAAAGGTGAATACTCGCAATTACACCTAACGCATTCATCAGCTATACAAGAAATGATGTTAAGCTGCTGCGTAGAAACAGTAAGGTGTGCAAATTGACTGTGTGCAGTTTACAACAACACAGTTAAAACGACACATGTTTACCCACACTGAGGAGAGACCTTATAAATGTGACCTGTGTGAGAAGACTTTTAAATGCTCCACATTACCTGAGAGACACCAACAGATCCACACCAGAAAGAGACTCTACAAGTGCAGCTACTGTGAGGTATGTATTTATATTGTTATCTTGTCATTTTAGCCTGACTGTTTGGAACAACTCTGCTCATTAAACTGTGTTAGCATGTTAGCAATTCTACTGCATGGAAAAGCAGCTCTGAGTGATTATTCAGATTTTCATGCCAGTTATCCATCCATCCATCCACATCCATCCATCCATCCATCCATCCATCCATCCATCCATCTTCATCCGCTTTATCCGAGGCCCCAGCGTTCCTGGGTCTGCCCCGGGGCCTCCTCCCGGTGGGACATGCCTGGAACACCTCACCCAGGAGGCGCCCAGGGGGCATCCTTGTCAGATGCCCGAACCACCTCAGCTGGCTCCTTTCGATGTGGAGCAGCAGCTGCTCTACTCTGAGCCCCTCCCGGATGGCCGAACTTCTCACCCTATCTCTAAGGGAGAGGCCAGCCACCCTTCGGAGGAAGCTCATTTCCGCCGCTTGTATCCGCGATCTCGTTCTTTCGGTCACTACCCACAGCTCGTGGCCATAGGTGAGGGTAGGGACGTAGATCGACCGGTAAATTGAGAGCTTCGCTTTTACACTCAGCTCCCTCTTCACCACGACGGACCGGTGCAGCGTCCGCATTACTGCAGCTGCAGCCCCAATCCGTCTGTCGATCTCCGGCTCCCTTCTCCCATCACTCGCGAACAAGACCCCGAGATACTTGAACTCCTCCACTTGGGGCAGGAACTCATCCCCGACCCGGAGTGGGCACTCCACCCTTTTCCGGCTGAGAACCATGGCCTCAGATTTGGAGGTGCTGATCCTCATTCCCGCTGCTTCACACTCGGCTGCGAACCGTTCCAGTGCGAGCTGGAGGCCCTCACCCGATGAAGCCAACAGAACCACATCATCCGCAAAAATCAGAGATGAGATTCTGAGGCCACCAAAGCGAAAGCCCTCCGCCACTTGGCTGCACCTAGAAATCCTGTCCATAAAAATTATGAACAGAACCGGAGACAAAGGGCAGCCCTGGCGGAGCCCATCACCCACCGGCAGTTTCATGTCAGTTATGATTTTAGTATTACTGTAGTATTATGGTGGTAGTATTGTAGTTATTGCAGCCCAGTAAACTGAGTGTGTTAACTGAAACAGTCAAATGTAATTGGACGTCTGCAGAGATGCTCTTTATTTCAGGCGACGTTCAGGATAAAAGTGTTGAAGGACTGACTTACACTGTCTTTGTGTCTTTGTTTAGAAGCAGAGCGACACAGATGGATCCAGTTCTCAACCCTGTCATCACCGTGGTGGTGGGAAAGACTTTCGTTGTGACCTCTGTGGAAAAACTTTCAGCCAGAAAGACCTTAAAAACACATCAACGTAGACACACTGGAGACAAACTGAAATACTGCAAAGAATGTGGGAGAAGCTTCACCACATCAACTGAGTTAAAACGACATGAACTGATTCACAGTGGGGTTAAAAAGCACCTCTGTGATCAGTGTGGGTCATCCTTCACCACTGCAAGTGAGCTTAAAAGACACAAACGAGTCCACACAGGAGAGAAACCATACAAGTGCAGACACTGTGACAAAAGCTTCTCAGATTCAGGTAATCGTAACAAGCATGAACGTACACACATGGAAGGAAACTACAGCTGTGACCAGTGTGACAAGAGCTTCAGGAATCTCAGTTCATACTCCGAACACAAACGATCCCACGTTACTAATAAACTGTTTCACTGTTACCAATGTGCCCAAACATTCACCTCATTGTCTGCTCTGTGCAAACATCAGCGTGATCACTCAGGGCTGAAATCACTCCCATCACTGGATCACAGTGAATCTGAAGAGACAGAAAGATCCTCTGGTTTCAGTGTCAGACTCAAAAAGCTTGAGATCAGGCTCCACAGAGTTCAGATAGAATCATTTAAACTTGTGTTGAACTGAACTGGTTGCTGGGCTGAACTTCTACATAATACAGATTTACATGGGATCTTATTTTCTGTCGTTTTACTGAGTCAGTTTTGTCCTTTTTTCTCTGTCCTGGTTTTGCTCGTCTGTAAATAATTGAAACTCAGTCAAATAGTTCATTGTTCTCCAGCAAAACGTTTTGGAAACTCATGTTTAACCTTTAAAACTCTGACATGTTTTAGCACACAAGGCTTCATCGGGGAGTTCACTCATGATTGGACCATGAGAACAAAGGTTTTTAGTTCTTTCAAAGAGAGTCTTGGAGATGTTTGATGTTTCTGTTTTTCTGAAACCACCTGAAAGAAAAACTATTTTTCTTGCTTTATGTAGTGTGGAAGTTTTTAATGTTTCTTCATCTGTGATGTTCTTGAATGTGTTCACATGAAGATGGTACAAATAAACTGTCCTTTTAGCTTCAGCTCCTAATTTATTCATTATTTATGGATGTAGCACAGCAGCAGTTTCTTGATTAACACATGGAGGGCTCGGGATCTGATGGTAAATAATGTTTTGTGTCCTTGTACACATCATACAGCTCAGCTGTTCCACAGATGTCAGGTTTACACAGTGGGATGGTTTGTAAGAACGCAGCTCTCCTGTGGATAAATCTTTACTCTTAGCCTCAGGACCTCACACAGTTCCAGCAGGTTCGGTCAGAAGATTTATCCCTTATACCAAAACTTCACTGAGTCTCCTTTGCTGTGCTGTTTTCACAAAGAAACGTAAACTGAAGACCTGAACTTACAATGTTTTAATTAGTTTAGCAGATTCAGTGGACTTTGATCAGTTTTTTAAACAATATCTTTTAACTGTTTTTTTCATTTTCACAAATAGTAAACAATTACATAACATAATAAAGTGTTAATAAATAAAGTACAGAACAATAAAAAACAACCAAAAAAACCCCCACCAAACAACCCAAAAACAAAGCAACAACAAAAACAAACAGACTGAGAACTAAGCACAAAACAAAACACCAGCTCAGATCCACGCAGTCAATCAATCATTTAATCAAGTATACAATACAGTACAATGCCTGTGGTCCCAGTACGACGCAGTTTGAACATTCATTGCTTAAAACCTACATCGAATATCCCTGGTTTAAAGTCAACGTTATTCACAATAGGGTTGAACACAGATGTTAACTTCAACCTTCCCGTCGACATACTGACCACCAGGCCTAAAGTGTATTAAGTGTGATTTGATTTTCACAGCTTGAACTAATATCTTCAAAGTTCTTAAAGAACAGTAAGACCCTTAATGGATACTTGTCAGCGGTTGTGTGGAGGCGAGGAAGAGATGACCCAAACGCAGGACTCACTGTGCAGGGTGATGATGATTTATTGGAATGAGTGGATAGACAGAGCAGGAATGAAAGGACCAACTGACTGAAAGACTGAATGGCTGGCTGAACTGAACACAGGCGGGAACGACAACATAACATCAACAATGACACGACAAGGAACAGGTGGAAACTGAGGGTTTAAATACACTGGCTAATGATAACGATTAGGGACCAGTGAGAACACAGATGATCATAATAGAACTAATAACACACAGGAACCAAACATGAAAACAGGAAATGTGAACAGGTGAATAAACTGAACATGAAACAACTGAAAGCACTGACTGGGTGAACACCCAGGAACCCTGACAATAGTTTCAATCCCCAACCAGATAGAGTGCGAGTTATTTGTGACCCAGTCATGAATATAGCTCATGTGAGTACTCAATTTATATGTTCTAATATTTGGTAAATCTAGACCCCATACTGAACCTGGGAGCTGTAGTGTAGCCATCATACGCTTGGTCTGCGTTTGCTCCATATAAAAGACCTTAGCCAGCCGTTCAGATCCTTCATCACCATATTTGAAAATATAACTGGAATCATTTGAACAGGACATAACAGTCGAGGCAAAATATTCATCTTAACCAAAGCTATACATCCTAGCCAGGAAAATATCCCTAAGTATACAAAACCTGTGGGCGACCACTTGAAGGGGAAAGAAAACAGTCCAGTTGGCACTGAATTAAGGCTGCCAATTGGCATAGCCTTCGACTTAGTCAAATTTACTTTATAACCAGAAAATTGACTAAATGTATCAATAATGTTAAGTAAAGCCGGTATTGATGTTTCTGGATCAGAAATAAATATTAAAACATTATCTGCATATAAACCGATCTTATGCTCATAATCAATTTGCAAGCCCCGTTGTTACGCCCCAGTCTAGGGGTACAGGAACGTAGCATAAGAGTTAAAAAAGGAAGTGACCCCGCCCTGGTTCCCAAAACCATACACAGAAAAAACAATTTCTTAAGTGAACGGTGGTTTATTTATCTACACTGAAAACTAAGCTCCGGGGTAAACAAAGGCCAAAATAACAAACAAAACAAGCTAAGTCAGGAGAAGAAGTGCCATCTAAAACCCTATGTGAAACAAAAACCAAACAAAAGGCAAATGCTACACCTAACTCCCTAACTGAAATAAACAGGAGAAAACAGTAGTGATGTATCTTGTGTCTCGAAGCTTCGAAGCGTGTGTCAGGTAATCTCGGAGGCTCGCTTTGATTACGTATGCAATGACGTTCGAGGCCTCGCGGGCAGTCCGTACCACGTGACTGATTCAGAAACTGGCTCGCCGGTTCGCGCCAGATTCGAAATAAAATGGGCAGCAAAACACAGCTGATTTCCCCATCACACTGTGTTGTTGAATTGGATTAGGTACGTGCTACATAGTTACTTGAGCATTTCTTCTTTGATGGAACCAGCAAGGAAGAGATTTTTTTTTTATCTCATCTCTCCTAATATAGTATGCACACAGTAATAAATACCACAAGTACCATAATATAAATAAACAACACTACAGATCCTATAATCTGATTTCTTTCTTTTAGTTTATTAAAAAGTGAAGCGCCACACACTACTTTGTGTCATTATCCTGATGTACATAAGCATGATTACACAGTTACACAATCATACCAAAACTCTGTGTTGATAGTTTCCACTTTGTCTTTTGTATCAGACATACTGAGACAATATTCGTGATAAATAACCATGAAAACAATTTATTTATTCAGTTTAGAGGTTTACACATCACATCATTATAATCAAAGAGCCTGTTTCACTTGAATCGTCCACTTGATGGCGGAATAGAGCAAATGAAATCACAATGTTTCAAACCATGAGTCGACCAGATGGATGGAAAGCTTCAGTTCATCAAGAGGCTTCATCTCACTATCACTAGACAAGGAAAATAATAAGGCAGCTCACCCCTTCTGTTTCAGTGTCTATTTACAAGGTGCTAGTTACAGTTGAAGACTAATTTACACACTATATACAAGCTCAGTAATTCATGAGAATCACAAGCATGAGGCCAGGGTCAGGTCTGCTGCTGCTGTCAGTGGCTGGCCCTACAACAACTGGTGGTGAGGGATTTTGAAAAGAGCCACATGATCAGGGACCAATCAGCCTCCGCCAGCTCTCCAATCGGGAAGGACCTGTGGAGTCTTAAAGACACAGCACAACAAAAGTACAAAGCCAGCCCAGGGCCGTAACACTGTACATCAGGTGCCCTCCGTATAGCCTTGGCTAACGATTCGATGGCAATAGCAAAAACAAAAAAAATAGGTGACAGGGGGCAGCCTTGCCTCGTTCCTCTAAACAATGGGAAACTATCTGATTTCAGTCCATTAGTCAAAATGGACACCAGAGGAGTATCATACAAAATATTTACCCACTTAATGAAATTATTAACAAGACTGAATTTATTTGAAGTGTAAAATAAGTATGTCCATTCTATCCGGTCAAAAGCTTTTTCAGCTTCCAGAGAAACAACCAAACCACTCATGTTCCTTTGCTGAGAAGGTGCCTGACATTATTACGGGAATTACGGCCTTTTATAAAGCCTGTTTGATCTTCTTTAATAATTATAGGCAAGAGAATTTTGAGTCGAGTAGCTTCTGGTCCACATTTAGAAGAGCTATCGGTCTATAAGAGGAACAAGACTCTGCACACTATTAGCTTCCCTTAGAGTCTGAGGTAATCTATTATTCAAGAATGAATAATTAAACATATTGACTAATGGATCTATTAACAGCTCACTGAATTCTTTATAAAATTTACTATTATATAATGGATTGCAATGAATAATAATGGATTGCATTTACACAGTGCTTTTCGGGGCCCTGAAAGCACCATCAGGTCTTGGGGCATTACTGTTTTTATAGCGTTTAGTACTTCCTCTCTAGAAATGGGAGCATTGGGGGTGGTCTGTTGTTTTGTTGGTATGGTAGGCAGATCGAGCTGGGAGAAGAAATCCTCCATTAATTCCAGTGCGTCAACTGGTTGTTCAGATGCATGAATCGGTCTTTCTGACTTCTCTAATTGTATTGTCTCAATTTTGACAACTGCAATGCCTGAAACATGTTTTTGCTTAATATCCTTTGTAGCATGAGTTGTACAGCCATAATTTATGGCTCAGTGTGGAGAGCACATTTGCAGTCTGCTGGCAGTCTGGGAACGGCCCATCTACCTGCCCAGAGCTCTGGTGTTGATAAAGGCAGCGTACAGCGTATGTGGTCCAGCTGGTCTGTGGACATGACCACTGACAGTCCAGGGCATTGTTGTTTGTAGACGTGTGCAGTGTAATTTTTCTTTTATAGATTGAAAACTTCAACAGTATCAATATATAGGACCACTATAACAGCAGGTGTTTCAAAGATTTTTCCATGTCACCTTTTGTTTTAAGTCTCAGACAGAAAGGTAATTGTTGTGTTTAAATGCCTCGTGAGTGTTTATTTTATTTTTTATTTTTAGGCCTGCTCACACTTTAGTTCGGCCGCTGTGTTTGGAACACAGCTGAGCCTGAGTATGTGTGAGAGAGAGATGGAGCTTCATCTCTAAGTTCTCATTCTTCTGTGTTTCTGTGCGAGGTTTGTTAATACCAGTTTTTGGCCTCATAGTACTTGTTGGATTGATCTCACTGCCCATATGGAAAAGAAATATGGGTGAGAACGACAGGGAAATCAGGGGAATGCATTGTATATTTACAATATTCTAGAATGACTTGTGAAGCTGTTTATAAGAAAGTGTGACGTCAAAGGTTCAAACAATTACACTTAAAGACAAATTCTTTAAATTCTTTAAATGTGTCATTCATTTGCTTTAAGAGGAAATTAATTAGGATGATAAGGAACAACCCAGAAATCACCAGGGCTCAAATCTGCCAATCTACAGTGAGGAACCACAGCCAGTACTGAAGATGTCCAGGTTAAGAGTAGAGCTAATGTAGAGCCTTGAAATTGCCATATTTCTAATGGCCACCAGAGGGCAAACCATCTGGTTGACAAAAGTCTTCCTGTTGTATAGACGTTCCTAATTTAATACTGAGTAAAACAAAAAATCAATTTTTGTAAACTG